TGTGACCTTGCAGCACTGAAATTAGCTGAGATGTTTAGGTCCAGGTAGCAAACGTTGACAATATTTCTTGACAGGATCGTCTGAAATAATTCAAAGAGTCCATCAAATTCGGACCAACAGGTAATTAAATCGCACACTGACTGCAACGTTGGGTGACTTGACCAAGTTACTTTAACAAAAACGTCCTGTAACAAAACCAAATGCTTCGGCTGAATTGACAAAAAATAGGGCGATGTACGTCCAAATAACGGAATGTTTTTTTGAGAAATTTGTTTGTTTCATATCTAGAGAACAATTGCGTCGCTAAAATTAAATCAGACGTGCTTGACTTGTTGATTCGATAGCGTGACTTGTTGATATGATAGCGTGACCTGTTATTACTATAGCGTGACTTGTTGATACGATAGCGTGACCTAGGGATTCACATGCGTGACGTGATTAAAAATAGCGTAACGTCGCCATTTGGGTTGAAAACTTAAGGAAAGATTTATTTTTAAAAACGAAATCAATCGAAAGTGTGACCAAGTAAATAGAATTGAATCCTTGGCCTTAAGATATTCAACATAAATCACCACATCAGGGACTCCATCGCTAAGTCACGGACTTCTTTGGCATCTTGCCTCATGATAGAGGTGGTTAGTTTAGCGATAAACACACAAATCGATCAATTCAGAGAGACAGTAACAAAACTAAGGCTATGTAATACCCCGTAAAGAAAACAAATTCCAATGATTTGTTGGAAGAGAACCCTATGGATTGCTGAGGAGGAAAATTTCAATTTGCAGTTGAATTTGAATTTAATAATGTTGAGCTGCACTTCAGTGTCGCTCACCAGCTGGGTATTTTTTACTGTGCCCTTTTGTGCTCCTCTTCAAACGTTCATTAGTATCTATGAGAAATTTCGAACCGTTTACTTTTCCGATGATGAAAATTGTTCTAAGTTGAAATTTGTGGTGCAGAGTATTTAGTCCTTGGCGCTCAGCTAACTCAACCAAGTGGTAAATTAATAAGTTTGCATACTGTTTGCAAGAAGAGACACGAAGTTTTAGAACTGGATAAAAGAAATGCGTGACAAGTTGTAAAGAGAGATAAACTCAATCACAATTCTCCATATCAGATAACAAACAAGGATGATGTGTAAGGTCCCGTCAGTACACTACATACGATCCACGCACAGTTCTGGCCTAGATTTTCATAGATGACTAGTTTCATATCGGTTTCAAGCACAGTCTATCAAAACAGCTGATTGAAACACAGTTTATAGTATAGTAGAGTTGGGTAGTGCCGTACTTGTATAGTATTTACCCCATAATTGACTTACATTACTCTTAATGTTAACTAAGTTGATTGATTTCTAATAACAAAAAGGAGATCGTTGTACTTACTCGTATTTATAGAGTATTGAAGTTCCGTGTAGCTTGTTCCTGTGAATATTGGTCGAGCGTTTTAGCATGTGTCAAAGTGCTTACTCAACAGGTTCTTAAAGAGATCCACTTTCACAGAACAATCTAGCTGCACACTTTGCAAAGAAGTGCTGGATTCTTTCCTAGCTTCTTGTCAAATTCCGAAAAAAAATTGAACTGACTTATGAGAATACAAATGAAGATTAAAATAGTTTTCTGTCTGCGATCTAAGATAACTCACATCTCAAAAGCAATATTCTCCTTCCCGTCGCGCAAAGTATGAATGGTTTGCCACTAAAGGAATTTTTTCATGATTAGACGATAATCGCTTATTACGCCATCAAGAAAAAAATTTCAGCTCTTCTTATTTTAATAATTCGGTGAGGTACAGTTAAAAATTTCTAAAAGGAATTTCGTATTTTACAACTTACCATGCAGATGTCTCGACAGAGTTACTGAGTGAGAAAATTAGTGACTAAAAATATCTTAATTTCGTGATTCGATGGCGTGTCGTCTGCCACAATTGTGGCCGAACGTGATTAGGCTTAAAACATTTCACGAGATTGATAGCCCTAATTGATCATATGATAGATTACATTTAAAATTTCGAATTCAATTAAGCAGAGGTCTCGCGACCCGCCATCGAGCATCAAACTAATTTTTAATCACATACGAAAACCAACATGTTAAGGGAACAACTAAACTGATTAATTTAAAACTATTTTGATTGCCGAAGATCTATAAAAGATTTGATGGTGAACGCGCCAATCTAAATAGTGTAACAAAACTTCAGATTAATTTCAACATGGTGTTCAATATTGCGCCAATCACTTTAGCATCGATGAAATTTGGAAAGCAGCAGCCTTAATAAATTTGAAATATGTTAGGTCTCATCTGAAGAAAACCTCGTGATTTGCAAGTAATTGTATAAGGCCTGCATGCCGACCAGATTTTTTGATAACGTGAGTACGCAAGGGGTCTTAACAAACTGGCAGATCGTTTAAAACACTCCATTCAAACGCACTCAAGTGCAATATTTCAATGTCGTCTTTTATCTCGATTTTCCAAACGTATCTCATTTAGTTGACGAATGGCAAGATTTTCTATGGAGCTCCCGCAGTTAAGAGATCATAGCAGTCCGCCATTCATATTGCCAGGTCAACTTACACCCAAGCATAGCTAGACATGGCCCGATCTGCACGAATCGTCCCACGATCTTTGCAGAAAGAATTTAAGACGGAGAAGTAAAGAATTCGACTCCAAAAACAAACTCATCCATGTTTACTCGACTGGTTATGTTTCTGCGTTGATCTGTTATTGTTTAACCTTTTCGCGTAAATCCCTGCTGTCTGAGGGACCAAATGTTTACTGATCTGACCCGCGGTGCAACCGATTTCAGTCCAGTCTCCAACTTCAACAGCGATATATCCGAATAATCCAGTGTCGGCCTTTAGGAGTCACTCAACAAAGCATGTTAGGTAAAGGGACATATTAATTTAAGAAACGCCTCTTATTAACCCACATGCCAAAATGAGCTATTTGTCCGTGAAATCAGCTTTAGACAAAATCAGAGACAAAATATTGTTCTATAATCAACCCGCTTTTCGCCTGAGGCGAAATCAAAATTCTTGAATAAGAAAATCGCAATGCGGCGGTCTTTACACTTTACAGACCGCTCGGGTCTCAAATTTTATTTAAAAAATCTCTACAAACATGCCAAAAACATCATGTCTCGAACGGATGCTAGAGAGAATTGTCTGAATCTCTCTTGGGGGTCGCACAATAAAATTCGTGACAACACACTGGATTCGTGATTTCGATACTAAAATCTGAGCGGTGATTTAAACAAGCACGATATACCAAGTAAATCGGTTCAGCATTCATTTTCGTGACGCAGGATTTTCGAACTGTCGTGTTGACACACTTTTTCGAGTTCGTTCACAGGCCTCGAAATCTGTTACTTTGGTAATATAAGTCAAACTTAGACAGGACTAGACACATATGATCACCCACTACTTTATCGCAATGTGTTCAGAGTGGCTGTATAATGTTAAGGCATATCGGCTTGCGTGTCGCTTACGTCCCTCTAGCGTGTTTTCTGTTCTTAATTACCGGCTCTAGCAGATTCATATCTTCAAAAAATAGCTTTGATGTTAACTCTGGCAGGTATGTTTTTTTTTGTTGAGATTCGGTGTCAACTTCACGACTCGCAACGATAATTTTTTATGTCAAACACCGGTCATCGAAGCTTCCGGTTCGCTGCCCTTTTGATAAAAAAAAGAGAGAAAATTTCAAACCGCTTCTCAATGGTGTTGAGTTGCAGTCATTTGAAAAAAAACCTGACACCAATTTTTTAATTCGACTCGTTAAAAGCAGTATGTTTGTTATTATTCCTTGTTGCGCTCTAATAATTTGCAAATAAAACGAGCGGCTATCTCTTTTGGAAAGTCACTCACAAGATTGACGATTAGACACTGTGTGATATCCGGTTGTGACGCCCATAACCTTTCGCCTCCATATCCGCTTTACGATATTTATTTTATATCAGCGTGGAATTAAAATGGTGAAATGCACTGCTCAAACCTTTGATTTAAAACGTTATTAGGGCATTGTTCTCCATTGAAAAACTTGTCACGGAGAATGCGCATTGAATGTTATGTGAATGCAAATTGGGGCACGTACATGATCAATGTTATGTGACAAATGCGGTTTTCTGCAGATCCATCTGGTTGCCAACTTATACTATTTCGTGGGTATTTCCGATCGATTTGAGGCCCGAAGTTTTAGCTTCATTCCCCCTAACTGCCGGTTAATGTTTGTTTGATCCTTGGGCGAAGTGAAACTGCTTTACAAATTCTTAAACACACATTTGCTTTGTAGGTTCATTGGCGAAGTGGAACGCATCCAAGTGTGACTGCTAAGTCGAAAGGGAAACCACAATAAAACAGATGCAGTACACCAACAAACCAAAGTTTCACCTTCAAAAAACTACTTTATTCTGCCAATAATAGATCTAACAAAAACGCGAGTTCTGCCTAAGGCAGACTTTAATGAACATAGATAATTCTACGGTTATTGCTTCAAGACGTTTACAAAAGCTATCATCCCTGTCGATCTAGTATTTACATGTGGATAGAATAGCAAATTAAGTTTCCTTTGGCAACCACTCGAGTGTAAGGGAATACGACAAATTAAAATCTAGGAAGCTTTGCTATAACGGAGAACACTTGCGTCTGGCATTCTTTTTTCCTCGCTTGTCAGCTAATGTCTCGAATAAAACAGTTAAGCAATAAAAAAATTTTTTAGCTTTCAGACGTAAAAACGATAACACTGTACAAAAGTTTATAAAGAGGAAAGCGAATTCGTTGAAATAAGATAAAATAAAATAAAATTGCCTTTAAGCGCACGAATTGCTTGGTTATTTTCAAAAGAAATATGTTCATTTTTCTAAAACCGTGTAATACCCGCGCGCGGTAGGGTGTAGAAAAAACCTTGATGCTTCTAAAATCAGAAGACATGCAATGAAATTCATTTTAAATTAAAATGCTCGCTCCACAGGAGCTATAAATTCGTAATGTTCGTGATCCTTCAAAACCTTCATTTCCAAACAAGCGTGTGCATACGGGAAGGAGATGACTGCGGGTTCTGCGCTGCAGAGGTTGTCGAAGCAGGAATAACAATTGAAGGGACATCGGAAATTGTGAACGGTCGAGAGCTGTTTCCACTTACTTCGGTGTCGCCGAACGAGAATTGGAACGCGCCATTGTCAGGTTGGTTCCTCTGCTGCAGAGCCGAGGGAGCGACTTGATTCGGCGGGTACGAGGAAGGAAGCTTCTGCAATTGCTCCATAAATTCTGTGTAGCTGGACGAGACAGAATTGTTATTTGTCACGAACTTGGACGCTCCGTGCGTTTGAGTGAAGCCGTGAGAAGTGAAGGTTACCGATGAAGCTGAGGAAGGAGGGTTTGAGAGCAGTGGCTGAGTGTATGAGTGCAGGTATTGATCGAATTCTGTAGTGTCCACCATTAGATCTGTGGTTAGGTCACCCATTTCAACGTGAAAATCAAGCGCGTTATTGCTGTTGCTGTCACTGCTTCCGTTCGGCTCTGTTTTCTTCGGGCACGCGGCAAAGCTGGAAGAAGGACCGTGGATTTCATGGTCCGCCACGCTCGCCTCAGAGAATTTCAATCCACCTTCCAACTTGACAGTGGCAGTCGGCGTGGTTGGCGGTGAAGTGGCTGAACAACTGGAACCTGGGCTACTGGCTTCTTCACCGCTTAAACTACTTTCTGGACTCGCGCAGTTGCCGTCTTGGCTGCATCCTGATTTGGGCATCAGTTGGGTATCACCTTTTAAGACTTTCAACAGATCATCAGCTGAGATTGTTGCCTCCGGTTGATCAGGACCTCCGTTGCCTTTTTGCTTCTTTCTTCGTGGCTGATATTTATAATCGGGATGCTCTCTCTTATGTTTCAGCCTGAGTCTCTCGGCCTCTTCGATGAACGGTTTCTTCTCAGCATCGTTGAGCAGTTTCCAAAGTTTCCCTAGCGTTTTGCTCAGTTCAGCGTTGTGTAGATGGGGATACTGATCAGCTAATTTTCTTCTAGCTGCTTGCGCCCAGACCATAAAAGCGTTCATGGGTCTCTTCACGTGCGGTTTATGTTTATGTCCACCATTTACTCTCACAGGTAGTGGAATTAAAGACCAGTCGTAACCATCTAGGACATGATTTACCGCAGTGGCTATTGCGCTACTCAAGTCCATATTCTTCGGCTGAACAACATCTGAGTCGCTCTTTTTGGTTTCACCGTTCGTCTGTTCCGTCATGTTTATCGGCTAGAGTACTACAACAAGGCAACTTTCTTATTTTTGAACTCTCACAATAACGAGACTGAATTTCTCCAGACGAAAAATCGAACTTCGTGCCAATTCGAATATTGGCGTATAGTTATTCAAAACACAGATATAATAATATCACGACCAATGAACCGAGACGGTGTATTATGTTACCGCGCAGTCTGATTGGACACTGGGCAAACCGCAGCCAATCAAATGGCTTGTTTTGAGGACCTTAACACCCGCTGGACTTAGGTGGGTTGAAACCACTTACGAAAGCGTTGTAATTGGTCAGCTGTCACGAGCCACGTGGGCGGAGAAAGTGTTACTCTAATAGCCACGGCAACCTAGTTTTATTTTGGGCTTTGTTGTAGTGTGAGAGAATTTCGAGTAAAACTTTCTTTTGTCCTACGCGCAGGATGCGTGGGCTTTTCATACTGTTTATACTCGTCTGCGATAATTAATAGCCTTATTGCCGTCCGTGTGTCTTCCATGTATCGATGACAGAACTGTTGCGAAAATTTTCATTCTTGAATCAAACTGGAGATTGGCTGACGCGACGCAGCGGTGGGGTTACTTCAATATGACATCTCTTACAGTATCGAATTAAGCCAGAGTTAGAGTGGGCCTTTCTACAATTACAGTTGCAGCACAGTGCCCAAGCCTTGAGCGCGAAAAACTCAACAACGGACAAAAATTAAAGAAAAATCTTAACGGCGCAAAAATTCTGCGTAGGTAAAGGATCTGCGTGCGGGAAGCGGTGAGATATACTGCAGGAAAATAACAGGAAAGGGCGACAGAAAGCTAGGTGGAACAAATGTCGTAAGCGCCCGCGTGAATTAACCTTATTGAAATACCTATTCACGAGCAAATAAGTGTACTCGCGTTTGATATTAAGCTTACGTTACGTACGCCTGTTGTATGTACAAATCAGTGCAGTTTCGGCGGATTGTGAGATTTACAGAGGCGAGAGGGCAAATAAATTGACAAGTCGCAACTTGACACTCTTCTTTCAACGCTATTAACGTCTGCATGTGTTTTTGAAAATAAACCAGTTCGGGTCATGGAGAAGTTGAGGCCTGAGAAAGTGCTCAAACACGAGGTGACGTGTTAAATCGCAAACTTTTACAATCCTGATGTCAGGACGGTTATTTATGCTACGTGTAAAGTTCTTTAGTACCACGTTTCACCACCATTGGGCAATATCTCCCACTCGGAATAAACGCAGATGGTTTTGGAGGTCAGACCCCGACTAGACGGGAAACTGTTTCTACCCGAAATAACCCAGAGCCCATCAAACGACTGCTTGACTGCTGTATCTCTATGTCACAGCGGCGCAATCAAGATATGTGAAGAGCGCACTATACGACTTCAATCACGATAAAAAGAAGGCGATAGGATTACATGCTGATTGCATGGAAGATACGTCGTTTTAAATCACGGAAAAAAAGCAAGTCGATATCGTGGAGGCAGCGAAAACGGCTAGTTACTCAAAAATATTGGTGCAGTTCTGGCCTCGCGAATTTTTTTTATTTTTGTAAATAAGCTGCAGGCGGATTTGTTGCCGCTAATGACAACACTTCCGATATTCAATACCATATACTTGTGGTCTGGTACGCATTTAAGCGTCATACCATGCGCTGGGGCTAAATTGCGGTCTCTGGCAAAAACATTTCTGCTTTCAACTGTAATCTTGTCGCTTCTGAAGGCGGGTAAACATCATACTCAGCTAAATAAATATTTGACCACTGAAGCTGCTCTAGTTCAGTCCGCATCTCATGGAACTATGATTTTTGAAAATGAAACAAGTCAACGTGACCAAGTATCGAAATATCTGTATTTAAGTTTAACCGCGGTCGAGGTTAATCCGGAGACTTGTATTTGTTTTAAACGCATCCTACAGGCAGCCGAAAGAGAGAGTGCTTATAACCACAATGCTTGGATAAGAAAGAAAAAACACGTCTTATTATGACACCGAAAGAAGACTTGATCAACGTGATTGGTAAGACGAGCCCTGAAGAAAGAAAATGACCGTTGCTGCGAGTGGGAAACTACTTGTTTTGATAAAAAATGAAAAAAAGCTGTGTACCGATTATTTTGGGACAAGGAAATTGAAGGTCGTATGTTTAAGAGATCGTTTTCTAACAGCGGTGAAGAGAAACGTGCCTAAAATTAGAGAGTTTGACGTATTTCCGTTACGGGGGAAAAAACGGTACGGGGGTGTATTTCCGATGGTTTGTTTACTCTGTTCTAATCACACCACAATTTAAACCAAAAAGGTATCGATGTTTCCTTTGAAAACGGGGAAACATTGAGGGGTGACCTTCTATGCTTTGTTATTTTAATTATCAGACCAATAAATATTTTCGAAGATACTCAAGAGGAAAAAAATTATGTTATAACAGAGGGGCGAATGTCGCCTAGCTTTAAACTTACCCTAGTGTTCTAAATACAATATTTCTTTCTGTAGGCACAGCTTGCTGAGTAAATAGCCGCTTTTTTGGGATGTACACCCTGCAGTTAGAGATGGAAGGAAAATGATACAGAAGGGCACACCTCGCAATTTATAGCTATCAATTTGTTAATTTTAGATCGTATTGTTAAGGGAGGTAGACATGAAATGTTCATTCTGAGGCAGTGTTGTAATTTTTTTTCCCCATACTTACTTTTTCCGATAAAAGTTTTCCACGATAAAGTTCAGCACCCGCAAGTGATCACTAAAGTATCTGTCGAGATTACGAAAACCACACACAGCTTAAACGAGATAAAATATTTTCGCTTATTAGTTCCAAACATTCTTGACGTAACAGACTGGGTTGGGTTAGAATACCGGTAGGGAATCGAAAAACTGCTGTTTGCTCCCCTTTGGGTGTTAATGTTCTATCTAGTCTAGTTATGTTCTAGAATGTTCGTGCATGTTATATTTGACTGTAATAGAGCATAACCCAGCGGGGAACCTCTTCAAATTGCCAAAAGAAACCGTTGCTTTCCAAGCAAGCACATGCCGCAAAAAAAAGTGTGCTAGAAGCCCTAGGCTACGCGTTTGGTAATTACAGTCACAGTAAACTGACGGCAAAGCCACAGTTCGGTAAAAAATACTTTGAAATGGGTGCAAAGCACAGATGTAAGTTGCCTGTTTCCAGCTTATCTTCTCTGTAAAAACTAACAGATAAAATCTTTGAAAAATGTTTTCTTTAGGAGTGATCGTGTTAGCGTCACTTCAAATGTTAGCTAACGTGAACAGCCACTGAGGATTTAGAGAATTATTTTCGAAATTAGCGTGAGCGATAGTTTGCTGTTTGATTTGAAAGAAAACAAAAAGACAAAGAGAAAATAAAGAAGAAAGGGAATGAAAAATAGTGGATTTTGTTTAAGTAAGAGCAGTTTTCTTACAAATTATTTTGTGAAAAACTTTGTTAGAGCGCCAAGAAAATGGACTAGTTTTTACCGAATTCGGTGTAATCAGAAGATTTCCTGCAAGACTAATCCGTGTCCTAAAAGTTTATTTCCCGTAAATCTTCTTTGAGTAAGATTTAATGATAACACTGTTAAACAAAGAAGGTTGCTCTTTTAGTTTAAAAATGTAAGACACGAAAAGTGTTTCTTGAGACCCACATACACTTTTCAGCAGTTAAACTCACGTGTTTTTACATTCAATTAAAGGATTAATACCCAAATAATTCCCTTGATTTTAGCACTTTCCTCCCCATGCTTAAATCTGATGTGGCGTGTTCCTAAAATTTTGCACAAAATTCTTTGAAATTTTATTGATCAGTTTTCTTTGACCCCTCTGGCATGATCACGTGATGTACATACAAAAAAAAATCTTGAATAAACGCTGTGGGTAAAATTTGGGATGAAAACTTGAGTAAATAAGTATTCAAGTTTGAAAAGATTATAAAAATACGGCAGAAAGCACAGATTTACTCCTCTTTTTTAGCATTTAATGAGCCCTTAATGTCACATTGTCGGCTTAGCCACAAGTATTTTCGAGTGCTGATAGGTACTCATGAAATGAAACAGGTAACATGTTCTGAAAGAAACACGATTTTTTTGACGAAAACCAGATGTTATCCCAAAGCGCACAAAAAGTTCGGCCCATCTTAACGGATCGCCAAAACAGCTTAAATCAGTTTCTTGCCATAGGAATTGACCTCAAAATCCAACAGCACTTCTAGACTAAAAATAGTAAAATATTACGAGAGGTCAACATGTTTCATAGCACCCCTTCGTTAAAAACTTGATTTTCATAATCCCTCAATGTAGCGTTCGTTTATAATCTTATTTGGCCAAACGGGTAAATCTAAATATAAAGGCAACTGAAGACAGTTAGGAAAGAAACTGCCGAGCCCGGGCTTTTGTCAACGCACTTTTCATCGCCGTGCTCTCCTTTACCTCGTACTTCGACGCAAATAATTAGGATAGCGGGAGTGGAGGGGGGTTGGGTGACGAACTACTTTATACACCCCACAATAATTTTCATCATATCTGAGGGAACTGTTGAGTGAAGCCGAACAAGTTTGTACTTGTAAACCAACATGATTTGTATTTCTAGAAATATTTTGGGCCAGAAAAAGAAGGAAAAAACAGAGAACATGCATAGTTGTACGAGATTTGGAAGGAATATCAATGCCTATTACTGCCACAATTTAAAACTAAGCTACTATTTGTCCCAAATGAAGAAGGAAGTCGGAAACTGTCGACAAGAGGTCGATAATCTAAATTCTTTGGCGAGAAAAATAAACATCGTGATCCCATGAATAAAAGTTTTCTATGTAAATATAGAACGTTTACATAGAGAGTACTTAAAGAGTTCGGCGTATTGTTACATATGTGTTTATGTTCACTAGTTCATAAGTCAAGGGAGATTTGCACATCTCAAGTTAAAAAAGCGTCTTTGCTGTGTTGTGAATGTCATCATGTTGCGGTTAAAATAGGTGAAGAACGAACATAGCCTGTACCATTTATTTTGTAAGATGGTCGCAGTCACTGATCAAAAGCGTAGCACACCAGAAAATAACATAGAGACGTCCACAACATTCATTAGGCTTAGGCTGACGATTATTTATTTATTTACGTAACAATTTTTTCAACCACTGCTGAAGCTTTGCTAAAATCCTGTTGGCCTT